AAAAAAAAAATTTTAATAGCAAAAAATTCAATTGAAACAAAAAAAAAATTTTTCCTGTGTTATTTAAATGGGAAATCGAATTTTTCGATGAGCTAGGCCGCTATTGCACTTAAAATTTTTTGCCCAGCGGCATAATTTTTTATTTCCTATAAACTACAAGATTTTCTGGTAGGACAGTGAAAAAAAAAATATCTCCTGAAAATGAAACACCCTAATATATATATATATATATATATATATATATATATTATATATACATCATTGGAAGCTCTTTAAGTGATCATAAACTACAAATCCTTAAAATTAAAACTCAAAAAGTGAAAATTCAACAAGAAAAAACTTACTGCAAAAGTATAGTAAATTATGACCTAATCAAATCCAGACTACAACTAGACAGAGATTTCAGTGATTCTTCCTGTTGAGACTCAAATTATGAAAAGTTGCCAAATTGTTTTACAGAAAACATTACTTTTTAAATATTAAAAACAGATTTAAACCTCACAGCAAACCCTGGTTTAACAGCAAAATTCTAAACCAAATAAAGAATCGCGATTTTTTATTATAAAACAATAAAAGACAATCCAATCCCTACAACGACTTTGCCAAAATAAAATATAAAGAAACAAATATTTTAATTCGAAAAGGGTTCACTGGTAAAAAGCACCTATTACAAGAATAAGTTTGATAACATTCATAATAATACAAGAAAATGTTGGAAGGTTATTAATAATGTCATTACAAATAAATCCAAGGGAAAAATCAATGAAATAAAAATTAAACATGGAACTGCAGAGCTAACCAATCAAAAGGAAGTTAGTGATCACATTAATAATTTTTTTGCATCTATAGAAAGGCATCTTAGTAACAAAATACCTCATATACCCCTGGATCTCTCCATTGAAGAGTCTTCAGTTGTTCAACGGTTTCAGTGGAAGATGTGCGCAAGCTTATATCAAACTTGGACCCATCCAAATCAGCTGGCTACGATAACATAAAGGGTTTTCCAATAGCTACGCTCGATCTTTGGCAAACGCGCATGCCTTTATCGATGGGCGGATCGATGAGATATTTTGTAGGAGTATTGTTAGTCTTTACATTTCATTATGGAACGCTATACTATTTAACAAAACGTTAAAATAGTTAAAACCTAGGCCCTAGGTCCATATATATATGTCAACGGTGAGCGCTATAGGACGATGATAAGAGATTTTTTTTGGCCTAGAGTGGATGGGATGGATCTTGCGAATATTTGGTTCCAACAGGACGGTGATACGTGCCATACTGCAGTCGAGACACTCACATTATTGCGGGGATTTGTGAAATCTCGTGTCTATGCCGTCCCACAGATGGTTGCTGCCCTAAAAGCCAACATCAGGCGCTTCTTTGGTGAAATTGGGCCACTTTTCTGCAATAAAGTCATAGAAAATTGGGTCTCCAGGATTTAAGTCACCAGGCAAAGCCGCGGCTGACATTTGGCTGATATAATTTTTAAAACATAATGTAATTATATTTGCTTTAAAATAAAACATGTCAGTTTCACTTACACAACTGATTTTATTACATTTCAAAGATCAAGCTTAGCTATTGCCAATAGCCTATTGGAAAACCCTTTAGATGTAAAAGAAATCAAGAAATGTGAATGTGAAGTGTCACTAGTTTATGTAAGGTTATCAATCAGTCTCTAAAAAGTGGTTTAGTTCCTACTGCTATAAAAATCGCAAAAGTAACTCCTCTTTTTAAACAGGGGGATAAAAGTAATGTTAATAACTATCGGCCGATATCGGTTTTACCTTGATTTTCAAAAATTCTAGAACGCATTGTTAATGAGCAATTGGGGAACAGGCGTCAGTCAGTGGCAGTCGGTGTTGCCGTGAGTGATCAGATTGGTCTAGACTCTAGAGTCTAGACTATGGTTTGCCTCAGGGATCAATTTTGGGTCCCACTTTTAACATACGCTGATGACGCGTCCCTTGTGTACGAATCCTATGATTTCTTAAAGATAGACATTGTACAAGATTTAAAACTAATATCGAGCTGGCTTAAGTCTCATAAACTCACTTTAAATGTACAAAAATCTTATATGTTTATAGGTAAAAGAAAACACTTGAATAATCAACCGCTAGGTATTGAAGGTGGTGTCATCAATTACAGTTCTTGTGTAAAATTTTTGGGTTTGGAAATTGATAAAACCTTATAATTTTTAAATCAAATTCAAAAAGTTCGACAAATAATTGCCGGACCCATTGAAATTCTGCACAAACTTAACTACTGCATTCCAAACAAATATTTAAGATCTGCACATTTCTCACTAATTCACTCCCATTTTCAATACCTTACGACAGTATGGTTTCCCACTTCTAATAATGTAATAGCACCCTTTAAAACCCTTCAATATCATGAGATACAGTACCTCAGGAGCGCGTTCGAAAACTCGCAAGGGTGCACTCTAGATACACTCAAAGTTTGCCTTGCGCGTTCGAATTATCTGGTATATACCTAGATATATGCAACTGTCAACTGTTCGAAAACAGCAAGTATATGCCCAGAGTGCACTCTCGGTTGTCCATGCTTTAGACTTGGTTAAGTTTTACCCGTCATGCGCACAGGGTACATCGAACAATAATTTGTATTTACCTTCATCTAATTTATTTATATCTATTTAAAATTCAATAAAACAAAAACGAAAAACAATAAAATAAAAGAATTTATTTAAAATAAATTATTTAAAAAATATCAATTCTAAAAAACAAAACAAAATCTATCGCAAAAACTTGAATAAACCATATAACTAAAGGGTTGAAATTTAATAATTTAATATTTATATGTATTCAGTCAAAACCAATTGATTTTAGAACACTACAACATAAATTTTATAGGTTTATGCTCCGCGGCGTTCGAAAATAACAAGGATTTCAGGTATAATGTATGTAAAGTCACGTGATTATATACATATCCTTATATACCATATCCAAAGTACACTCATTTCGAACGCACTTCAAATGTCTATAACAATTTTAACATAATGCCAATTGAAAATATTTATTATTATCAGGCACTACCTTTATTTTTAATAATCTTAACATACACGCTCATGATATTTGTAACAACAATTTAATAGATTTGTATCCTTTTACCTCCAATTTTGGAAAATCGTCTATTTTGTATAAAATAAATATAAATTAATTAAAAAGTTATTTAGGCCAAGCTAACTTATGTATTGTTTATATGTAGGTACAGAATATATTCGTGTTTTAAATACTTAATAAGTGACAATATTTTTGTTTGTATTTATTTGTAAATTGGTGTATATTTAATAAGAGTTCCCTCTGTAAACCGAATTGTGTTTTTTGGGTTTATAAATGTATTATTATTATTATTTAACTTTTTAAGCTAGACTCTGACCTGGACTATCGATCCCTCAATGCAAAGGAGGAAGTGTAATATTTTGGGGTGGCTTATGATTGGTGAAAACGTTCCTTTGATTCCCATTACCCTGTTAAAAATCACCCATAGAGACCAATAGAAACCAATAAAAAATCAGAATGGAATGAATTGGTCTTTATTGGGCCTATTGGTTTCTCAACAGAATGAGCATTGGTTTCTATTGGTAATTTCCGTACTGGAAAATGCCAATAGATTACCTAATGGTCTGAATTGGTTTTTATAAGAAGTTACTAGTACAGGAAATTCCCAATTGAAATTCAATTGGTAAATACCACTTAAATGTTCAGCGCCTGCGCAATTTAATACAAATGACCACTTGTTTCTATTGGCAATTTTCTTACTGGAAAATACCAATAGATAAACTAATGGTCTAAATTGGTATTTTATCGGTGTGTAGGTACAAGGAACCCTATTGGTATATACCACTTTAATATTTATTTTCAAAATTCGCCAATAGGTAGGCAACCCATGCATACCTCTCGCCTCTGTAGCACAATACATAGGCCTATAAAGGTGGAATGCCTTGAGCTGCTAAGTAAGGATTCCTTACTAAGGCAAAATTACTGCCATGGCCATGGAAACGCTTGGCGTTTTGGAATTTTTAAAGGGGCACAGGTCGTCCTGTGCCCACTCTGCGAAAAGTAAGCAGTGGGCCCCACTAGTAGTGGTCCACTACTTACTTTTAGCAGAAGCTATTTATAAAATTTAAATTAAATGTTAAACAGCACTATTTTTGAATAATTATTTAACCATCAAAACACGTAATTTTTTACCTTAAAGACGTCTAAAATGGATAGTGGGGACCAATTCAAACCAATAGCGGTACCTCTGGAAAATCCAAATAGCTCTATTGGGAATTACCAATAAAATATATCTATAATATATCTATTGGGAATTACCAATAAAATACGATTAGTCTCTATCGGTCTGTATTGGGATTTTCCAGCGGTGTCGCTATTGGTTTGAATTGGTAATTCATGGTACAGATACCACTATTGAGACCAATTCAAACCAATAGAGCTGCCGCTGGAAAATCCCAATAGCTTTTCTATTGGTCTTTATGGGTGATTTTTAACAGGGTAGACAATCCTTAAGAAGTCCAAGATATGTAGATTTAGTTCTACAAACCATGTTTGTTTGTTCTCAGACAAATTCCCAATTTTTGTTATTTGATATAAAATTTATTTTAATATTTTTTTTCTTTCTTTTTGTAATAATATTAGTAAGGATAAGGTGGATTCCATGGGTTATTCCATATAAGGTTGTGTGTATGTATGTATCAGAGATATATCTATATCTCTGGTATGTATATATGTATGTGACGCGCTCCAAGAAAAGGCACCTAAGCATTACATGCAAAATATTTCAGATATGTAAGTAAAGTTTGTAATCCATAAATCGATTTTTTGGCGCTAGAACTTTTGTATATTTGGTCCCAGCGCGTGTCATATGATGTTAAAAAAATGCTAATTGTAAGGATTTTAATATAATTTTTAATTTCGGAACAGAATAAATATTATTTGAGCTCAAATTAATATAGATAATTTTATATTTACCAAAAGTACTGCTGGCTAAGGCTGAGCATTCAATATGCCATCCTGGTCGACCTGGGCCCCAGGGGCTCTCCCAATAGGGTTCATTTGGTTTACTTCCTTTCCACAAAGCAAAATCGGCAGTATTTCTCTTGTTTGGAATTTTTGTATTGGTACCTTCTCCTATACTTTGTAGTTTTCCATAGTTCTCATATTTAGATACATCAAAATAAACTGAATCCTCTGATTGATAAGCAAACTTACTTTCCATTAGCTGCTCTATGAAGTTCACTATAAGATTTATGTTATCAGATACTCTTAAAACTATATCAGGTTGAGATATTCCTAATAAATTTAAATCATCCCAAAAATCTCTCTCATAGTATTTGGCTATTTCTTTTGGCGATTTATTTGTTTCAATGCTCTTATTAATAATTTTATCATCTATATCGGTAATGTTCATAACAGTAACCAAATTCACATTGAACTGCTTTTTTAAAATGCCCTGTATAATATCCAATTTGGTGTAGCAGCATGCATGTCCTATGTGGGATGTATCGTAAACTGTTGGCCCGCAAGTGTACCATTTTGTAAAACTTTTATTTTTCAATATCAAAGGAACTTTCGATTTTGTTACACAATTATATACTTTTATTCCTGTATCGTACCCTTCAGGTTGTATCCAATTGTGTTTGAATCTACATTTATTGTTAAAATTTTGTAAAAGACTAGAAGATTTTTGCAAAAACTTTAAGGGCATTTCAAAAATATTTTAAGGTTAGGACATTAAAACTACCGTTGACAGTAGTTCCAAGATAGGTTAGCAAGTACTTGAAGTGGGTGAAGTTCTTCTTCTTCTTAAATTTTATGGCCTTTAGCTTCTTAGGAAACTATTTGGCCAGCTCACTATGTTTTGTGTTTTGGTCACGGTCTTATATACAGGTCTTGCAACTTTAAGCTTCGAGGTGGCTTCCTTAACGTGCCAAGCCGCTAGGTGGCGCTAAGATCGAAGGGGTAAAGCAAAGTTCTTTGGGGTAAAGTCAATTAAACTACTACTTAGTTAAATGTGGAACTACTGCATAACCATAACCTAACTTTTTAAATTCTTTTTCTATGTTTTGTTTACATTTTCAAAAATTTAATATTTGTGAGTTTGTTTCGGATAATTTACGTTAACAAAATAGGACAACAAAGTCTATACTCTATGCACAAAGTCCTCGGCCGTCACATGCCCAGACCAAACATGTAAGTAAAACATATGTTAATGTATAAAATACATACGTATATCAGGTTATATATTATATATGTTACGGCTAATGTGTAAACATGGATGGTTTATAAGGTAGCTGGGTAGTTTATAAACTAGCCAAACTGTCAGCTATTTTAATTGAAAACGTATTTTTAACTAAATTAGCGGCTAGTTTGTAAACCAACCAAGGGTCTTGGCTAATTTACTTGAAATTATTTAGGAATAGCTGGATAATTTGTAAACTATCCAATTCAATTTGGCTAATATGAAAACCAAAATTTCTAGTAACACAACATAGCCAAGCTTTAGATAGTTTACAAAATAACCAACCAATATTCTGGCTAATTTATTAATAACCGATTTTTTTATTGTCTTGGCGGGGATGGGTTGATTGTTTATTTAAAATAATATATATTTCACCAACATGATGTGCTTAATTATATAATAATCATACAAAATGTGAAGGTGTCAATAATATGTTTTTTATTGCACATTGACATGTTTTTAACCGCTCCTTATTTGTTGACACTTTAAACATGGACCGCTTAATTTTAATGCCGGAACGATAGCTTTGCTGGTTACATTTTGGCACAACACGTGTTGTACAGGACTTCATGTATATTAAAAAGCACAAATACAAATGTATAACAAGAACAAATATAACAAGAACAAATATAACAAGAAAAAATAGAACAATATAATATAACAATAACGAATATCACAATAACAATAAGTAAAAACTACCTGTAACAAAATACACAAGCTTGTTTATAAAAATGTAGGTTATGTTTCTTCACAGAACATAAGTAGGTAGTTCATTTGACCTTTTATCCCATAGACTTTAAGGACTAAGAGCCGGTTTTACAATCGTTAGATTAAGTTAGCTTATTTGGCGGATAACTTTCATAGAAACCTTCTATCTAAGAAAATTATCCACCAGAGAGCTTATCTAACGATTGTAAAACCCAAAGATAAAGAAGGTAAAAACGACCTTTAAACATCTATGGTTTATCCATCCCACATACTTCCACACAGTATATACTGTGTGGAAGTATGTGATCCATCCAACTCGATGCGCCATCTGGTGGGTGTCTCATTAGAGAGGTCACTTTTCCTATTGAAATTGGGCGAAGTTGCAAGACCTGTATATAAGACCGTGGTTTTGGTAAAACTTAAAGGCCCCAAGTGGGTGAAGTTCATGGTCAAGGATACATTAACCCAGTGTTGCTAACCCAACGGATTTATCCGTAGATCAGATCTTCGGATAAATCCGTTGGGTTAGCAACACTGGGTTAATAGATTAGATTTAAAAGGTACGGCCGGGCCGTACCTGACCAGCCGCCACTGCCGTAGATATACTAGATCTACGGCAGTGGCGGCTGGTCAGGTACGGCCCGGCCGCGTACCCAGAGAGCCATGCTTTGGGAAAGAAATTAGTCAACTTTTTCCCAACTAAGTTTGGACTACGATATTTTACATTTATTGGGGTTTATTTGGACATATTAATTGTATTTTCATAAAGTTTGACCAAAAATTGACATGTTTTATGCCAAATTATTTTCCAATGCGATAGCACAACAACTACACAAATATACAGTCCTAGATAGAGTTATTATTGGCCAACGTCGTTTGTAATGAAGTTTGGTCGAAAATTGGCAAAGCGTTTGTAATTCAGATTGATCGAAACTTGGCAAATAATTGATCAGCATGGAAAAAGAATCGCAATGGCGAGTTATACATATGTCGTTAATATTTCAAGACCTTCTCTACAAAAAGGCGTCAAAAAGTGCTTGTGTGATAGTTATTACAAAAAAATATAATCATCTGTGCACTAACTAAACGTGTTAAGTTTTAAACGGCTTTAAATTTTGAGTAAGTAATTAAGGTTAGGTATGTTTTCAAAGTTTTTAATAAAACATTCAATTATTATACAATTTCTTACTTCTTGAAGATTTTATACCCTTATTAATTTTGAAGTAGGTAATATAAATTTACATTGGTAGTTCTATAGGTATTATGTACTTATTTTTTGTTAATTGTTACAGATTTTCATCTTGAAGTTGCAGTGAAGAAAAATAACTGCCTTTTTCTAGGTAAATAGTGTTTATGGGTACTAGGCTTTTACTACAAGCAGGACAATTTAAAAATAAATTTTCTACCTATATGTCACGAAGGAAAAAGAGGATTTATTGGGTTTTAAGATCTATCGTGCTAGAAGTGAGCAAGGTAATTGCAATTTTTTTATTGAATTTAAAAATTTATTTCTTTTTTATTTTTAAAGTTCTTCATAACATAAAGTTACCAATCACAAACTATTTTTCTTAATGTTTAATAAAGCATAATTCTTGATAGCCTGATCGTAATTCTATTTGTATCATAATATTATAACAAGTAAGTATAAAGGTGGATTTAGCCAGCATTTAAAGTAATGTAATGAAACGTAACATAGGTAATTTAATTTAAAAAATTGTGTAACACAATTTGTGTTGACCCGTCAAACAAGAAAAACTCAACCAAGAATACATCTGCCCTTAAAGAAATCTATAGATAGGTATACAGGGACCCTGTAACAGGGTGTCCTGAAATTAGGGGGCCAAACTTAAACAGTGCATTCTTCATAGAAAAATAACACTTTTTTGTAAACATGTATCAAAAAATGGTTTTCACTTCCAAAATACGTTTTAAGACTTGTGTTTTTATATTGTTATGTTATAGGTTAGCTACTTTAAATTTGTCGCTGACGATGACGTCGTAGGCAGCGTGAATTTAATTGTCAAAGAAGCCTTCTCAGATGAAGTTTCTTCCAAAATAACGCGCACTGGACGTGCTGGTGTTGGAGTGTCCAAAACAAAAATCGTACAAGCCATTCACCGTATGTTTTATATTTTAATATTATTTCCTAGACAATTTTGTTACTTAAAGTATTTTTTAGAGAGTTTACATGAACATGATAAATTTCCTCCTCCAGGGGCTTTAGAATTCCAGAGGTCCTTTGACGTGGCCTTAAACAACGCGAAGCAACGGGTCCGAAATAAAAAAAAGCCTTATTGCAAAAAAACAATTAAATCACTGCTTGGGATTCAACATAAAAAAACAATATTTTTTTCCAATTTTGATTATTTTAAATATTTTTTATTTATACATTTGTTTTTTTTAATATTATTTTTGACCACTGTTCCAGTATTGAATCATACTGTTTTATTTTTTTATTATTAAAAAATATAAATACAAATTTTTTTATTTACCCAATTTTCAAATATAATAATAATATTTGTTAATACTTTGGATTTGTCCAAATATTTACCAATATTTGGTCAATTTTTCAAAAGCCTAATTGCCCAAATAAACATCAAAAATTTGTCATCGTTTTTCCATGCCCAAACATTCCCAAAATTAAACCAACGGTAACCTACCTAATTTATCCAAACTGCTTTGGCATATTATTGGGCACAATTTGGTCATTTATTGTTGGCCATCGCGATTGCACAAATACCATAGGAATATACAGTCCTACATAGTACATTTATTGGCAAAACTTTTCCAAAGGTAATGGGCAATTCTTGGCCATGTTTTAACCTGATATGGCTCTCTGGGTATTGGCATTGTGTACTACGATACAGAGCCATGGTGTTCTGAATCGCAGTAAGGATTGACAAAATTAAACGCCACTAAGTACAATACAATCCATACTACGATTCAGCACATCTCCCAGTTTGTGATGTTCTGAATCATAGTAGAGAATGTTGAAGTGTTTGCGCGAATGCAGCAGGCCATACTTTACTGCGATTCAGAAAATATTGGCTATGTGCCGCACGCATAAAGTAATAAGCCAGAGTTATAGAATAGTTAGAAATTAATTAATAGTAGTGAAACATACCCAACCAAAAATCTCACTGACAATATTTATTTTTTATTATCGATTTTTCAAGTTAATTAACTTAAAGATCGTTTTACCCTAAAATTTTATTTGGCTTTATCATCGACAATCCTTAATAGATTTTTATAAGTATTTTAGTAGTTAATGCCCTCATGTTTCTATTTTTCTTTCTTAAATATAACAGAAAAAAGCAAAGGATTTTATATACCGTAAAACGGGGTTACTTTGCACTTTGATGGGTAACTTTGCACCAGTTTTATTAAATTAAAACCAATATTAAAAGGGGTTTATTTTAAAAAAAGATTCCAAAAACAAAACCTTAAAATGAATAAAATTTACAAATTATTATTATATATATTATTATATTTATATATACTTTTACAGCAGTGGTGCAAAGTTACCCATCAAAGTGCAAAGTAACCCCGTTTTACGGTATTTAAAAAATAAAAAATATAACTTTAAATTATTATATCAAGTATAATCTATGTATTTTTATTTGGTGTCTATTAAAGAAAACAACACAATACAAAATATAATATAATATAATACAATACAATACAATACAATAAAATAAAATTTCTTATTTATGTATATTTTATGTTTATGTTTTTGCAAAATTAATAGTTTTATGTAAAAGTAGAAAAAAAAGCTTATTAACTATTTCAAATATTATTTAAATCCGTTGT